CGCGGCCAAATTCCAGATCACGTGCAGAGGTCTCAGAATTCGCATCTCCCAGAAAGTCGATCCATCTTCATCTCCCACGACATCGCCGCACCTCCACTGCACCATTCACCTGCACGTATCGTGATTCGTCACATGCAATGATCGCCAGGTGATACAGCTTCCTCCCACACCAGAACCTGCTCGCGACTCGAACCTCCAGCGAGATGCTGCCTCGAGCGGCGCTGCGATCCACCAGACCCTCCTCCCTCCACATATCACATCTGCGGAATGGCGCATCAATAGCAGCTGCACCATCGTTACGGCGCACATACGCCAGCTCCAATTCGAACTCGAAACCTCCGCGACCGCCTCCGCCACCGCAATCATCGAGACCTCCGAAGCCGCCTCCACCGAGAGCTTTCCAAGGCGCATCAGGGCCAGCTCGGCAGACGTCACCAGGAACTGCTGTTCCAAAGGATAAGACATGGAAGCCCAAAGACGGCATCAAGTTTGATGGAGCTGCGGCTGCGCCTGTAGTTGCCGCCGGTCAAGCAACGGCTACTACGCGAGCTAGCTCCCCAGTGGAAGGCGCAAGACGCGACGACAGTGCTGTGAAGAGGGAATCTCCGCTGGAGGGCGATGCGCCGGCGCCTCGAGAACCGATAGCACAGAAGACGGACAGCGATGAGCCGGTACCTGGCACAGTCAGAGATCAGGCGAGGGACAAGATTGCGGAATCGGAACAGCAAGAACAGCCTCCCGAAACTCCACAGCAGCCCACTGGACCTCTGCCCGATCTCCGACAGGGCATTCCTTCGACTTTCGAATTCGAGTTTGGCCAAGGCAAGGAAGAGTTGAAGAAGGAAGGCACGACCGCCGAGGCCTCGCAGGAAGAGAAGCTTGATTTGACTTCAGAGTCAGAGGGAGGCAAGCAACGGAGAGAGCGTGAGGATCGAGAATATGACCGCTCTGCATATGAGACTTCGTTGGACAGACGGCGAGCACGCGTGGCAAATTACATGTACGCCAGCATCCTCGTAGCTGCTGCAGGAGCCGCTGCATACTTCGCCCGCCCACTGGAAAGTGACGAGGAGGTTCCCAAGGGTACCGATCCCGAAATCGCCACTGGATGGTCTCCCACGAAAATGTACGCTCGCGTGCGTGCTCGTATGGGCAGCCAAGTTGGTTACTACACCGAACCTTCTTTCCCCAAGCTACTCCCAGACGTCCCGGAGAGCCAGCGACCGCCTTTCACACTTGTCCTGAGCTTGGAAGACTTGATGATCCACACGACCTGGGACACAAAGCACGGCTACCGTACTGCGAAGCGCCCCGGCATTGACTACTTCATCCGATACCTCTCCCAGTACTATGAGCTCGTACTCTTCACCTCGGTCCCACGAGCCATGGCCGACCCTGTGGCTGCCAAGCTCGACCCATACCACTTCATCCAGTGGCCACTCGGACGGGAAGCAACCAAATACGAGCAGGGCGAGTATGTCAAAGATCTCTCATACCTGAACAGAGACCTCAAAAAGACCCTCATCGTCGATACCCATGCGCCGCATGTCAAGAACCAGCCAGAGAACGCGATTATCATCCCTAAGTGGAGTGGTGACCCCAAAGATCCGCATACCAAGGATTTGGTGTCTCTGATTCCGTTCCTGGAATACGTCGCCACCATGGGTATTGATGACGTCCGCACTGTCCTCAAATCCTTCGAAGGCAAATCCATCCCTGAAGAGTTTGCCCGAAGAGAAGCCGAGGCACGGAAGAAGTTCAACGAGCAGCTTGCTGAAGAGAGGAAACGGAAGCCAAAGTTCTCTCTGGGAAGCATCGCGGGCTCACTCGGTGTCAAAGGCGGTGGCTCGATGGGTGGCGGTATGGTCCTCGCGGATGGCCAAAGCGTCTCGGAAGGGCTCGCGCAAGGCAAGATGCTTTCAGATCAGATTCGCGAACAGGGACAGAAGCAGTACGAGCACCTTGAAAAGCAAATCCGTGAGCATGGTGAGCAGTGGCTGAAGGAAGAAGCAGAGGAACAGAAGAAGTTGATGGATGCGCAAATGAAGGATATGAAGAAAGGTGCCATGTCGTGGTTCGGTGGTAGCGACAAGTAGTAAGCCCTGTTAGGGGATGAAGGATGACGCTTTTGACTCTTCGCTCTCATGGGTGGTGTAAAGGAAGGCAAATGTACAGTGAATCGAGAAGAAGTGTAAGCGATGAATCGATGCATTTTAGCGGAGTGCTCAGGGAGTATTATTTGATTTGCATTCGATGGCTTGGCCAACTGCTGACGGCGTATGGTAGCCTTTACCGTCCCGTACCCCAGACATTGTAATACTTCAAAACAATCGCTCCATCTCCCATTTGTTCTCGCACGCTATGCCTTTGGGTCTCCCTACTCCCTCTCTACCTGACCAGCAGGGGACGAGACGCAACCTCTCCATTTGCTCTCAGTGCAACACCTCCCGATCATGCGCCACAAAAATCCTCACATCTAAATTCACCTTCTCACGCAACAACCTCTCCTCCTCCCTTTCCGCCAAAATTTGCCCGGGATTTCGATGCGCCATCCCATATCTATCGCTTCCTCCAATCACTCCTCCGCAGACCACATATCCACATCACCGGTATGGAGAAATATGAGCCCGCAGAAAAGCATGACACATTTCGCGCAGTATCGTGGAAACTGTAGCCGCAGCGCCGTCTTCTAGACGAGGCGGATATGGATCTATGAGAATTCGATCCATGGGTAGTCGTCAAAAGCTCACCTCTTCAATTTCTCCAAATTTCACGTATTGTAGCCTACGGATATAGCCGCCCAAAAACTCTCTGCTTTATTATCATTACAATCTATATCTGAATTCCATATTCTTCTTATCCGTGACATCCGCAAATTCAATGTCTGTTTTGTGTTCGATTCCCCTTTCCTCTCCTACCTTCTCCCTCCTCTTATTCTCCCAGATATAATACCCCTGCAACACGCCCGTAAACAGCATCGCAGCCGCGCACGTCACGATGATGGTGACCTTCGCGGGAAGATATTCCGGTGCGCTCTGCGCCGTGAACGTCAGCGGGCCGATGATATTGCCGACGCAGAAGGAAATGAGCAGGACGGCGTTCATGGTGACTTTCTTCGAATGCCCGGCGTAGTTGGCGGCGACCCAGCTGTAGAGGAGGGGAAGGCCGCTGCCGATGGCGTTCGTCAGGTAGTTCCCGATCAGTTTCCCGGCTTTGTTGTCTCGGGGGAGGAAAGCCATGAGCGCGCCTCCCAAGATCCCGACGGCCATGATGACGAGGAATTGAATGCCTCGTTGGTTGTACCGGCCGGCCATGTAGGTGGTACTGAGGATTGCCACGATGGAGACTGCGCCAGAGGGGATCGAGAGGAGCGCGGTGGTCTTGCTGTTGTAGCCGAAGTTCTTGATGATGGTTGCTTGGAAAGAAGATACGGCCCCGTTGGGCACCGAGGAGGAAATCGTGACGAGGGAGAGAAGCCAGGTTTGAGGATCGAGAAAGCATTCGAGGATTTGAGCGGGTTTGATGTGCTTGTTTTCGATTCCGGTCTGGTTCTCCCTCAAGCGTGCCACCGCCCAGACTTTCTCTTCGTGAGTGAGCCCGCGGGCTGACAATGGGTTGTCGGGGAGTAGCAGCACCACCAGCACTCCGACGACGCATGTTATCAGGCCTACGATGAGGAACATGATTTGCCAACTCGTGAAGGTGCGGAGTTGAACGTGTTGAAAGCCGTAGGAGATGAGGCTGCCGATGATCGTCCCCGTTCCAGTACCCAGGTACCAGAACCCAACGCGCGGAGGTTGCTCGTGACGCTTGTACCACATGCTGGTGATGAGGATCAAGCTTGGCGCTACTGCGGATTCGAAGACTCCAAGAAGTACGCGAGTGGTGACGAGCGCGGAGTAGTTCTTGCAGGCGCTCGTGACTGCAACGATGGCTCCCCAGAGGAATACCATGACGCCCAGGTATTTTGCAGTCGGGAGTCGCTGCATGCCATATCCGTGCGGGAATTCAAAGGCCAAGTACGAGACGTAGAAGACCAGCGCCAGATTGCTGAACTGATCTTTCGTCATCCCAGTGTCTGCTTCCAAGTCCATGACGTTGGCATAGTTGAGGAGCGTCTTGTCCAGGTATTGAAGGCAATAGCAAGCCCACATAAGCGGCACGATCATCCAGTCGATTTTGCGTACAAGTTTGCGTTCGTCCTCCGCGGTCATCTCTCGCACGTTGCCTTCGTGGCGAAGGAAGGACAGTGCGACATCGGCATTTTGAACATCTTTGACCTCGCCGATTTGGACATCGCTTTCTGCTGAAGAAGTCGATGCTTCGATGTCCTTTTTTATGATGGAAGACATTTCGTGATGGCCTTCGAGTGTTGGGAAGGCGTACACTGAAGAGCTAGAGAGAAGGAAGGTGGTGGACGCTTTGGAAGTGATGATATGGAGCGGCCAGGTCGCCCAAGGTGAGCTGTTACAAGGGAGCAGCTCTTTTGAGCGAACAATATCGCTTGCTGTCGATTCTCCAGTTGCGTTTGGTCTTATCGCCTCGTCCAGAGGATCGATTTTCTGCTGCACTGTGGTAAACCTTCATGAGTATTTGACCCAAGTCCAATCTTGTTGCCACCGGAGGGCTCGCCTAGCACACCTTATCAGGAAGCTGGAAACCATCGGCCAAGCACGCTGATAGCGGCCAACGAATGAGCAAATGTCTACCTCTCTCCATCTTTCGGCACTCGTGTTGTGATGCTGTTCAGTGGCTTGGAGTCTTCGAATCAGTTCGAGAATCTCTGCACCCATAAATACTTGTTATTTCTCCCTTCTCACGCTTTGCGTTAACCTCCACTTCGCGGTTCAGCTCCGTGGCCAACAATCTCGCCGTCTATGCATCTACGCCCATCGCCGGAGTCTGTTGCAGCTCACTATGAGCGACCCTTGAGCCTCGCCTGTTAGAGTCTAGAAGATCTCAGCTCCCTGTGTGATTGCCAAAGGGTTGACAATAGGATCTAAGCATGTGAAAGCGATTCTGAGGTCTGTGCCACGCCATGTCAACGACGAGACTGCATACCAGGCTAGCTGGAGTCTGTTGAACAGTCTTGAGGGAATGAAGAGCGGAGATGTTCAACTCGGGCTTAACCATTTCATTCTTCTGATGCGGTGACATAAGGCGTCCTGCGGAAGCGTTCGGTAATGTGCCGGGTGAGGTTCTGGGAGGCGAATTTGCGGAAGGGAGCGTCGGATGCTACGTGAGGCTATACGATGGTTGGAGCGCACAGTCAATGTAGAAGTATTTTGGTACCAGTGGATGGCAGAGGCTTCATGATGTACATGTACATATTAGAGAAGAGAAGAAACGACGAAGAGGAAGGGCGTCCAAGGAAACTTCACATCACGTGTCTTCGCGCTGGGTTGGCGTCACCCTGTTCCGAGCCGCTCCGGGGGCTTCCCATCCTTCTCCATCAAATCGACATCCCATTTTGAACGGAAGGACCGCGATGTAGGACACATTTCATCAACCAGGCGCATCGGATGCACGTCGGAACGACGACCAACTGCTTCGACCTCAATGCGACAGATCCTGAAGCGCCAGTAATACCCTCGAAGAGAACCTCCTCGCAGAAGCCTATCATGCCACATTCGGAACGACGCGAATGCCCAAATGTCGTCCAGATATTGCCAGACATCGTGGACTCGAAGATATGACCAGCTCGCATGAGTTCCATGATCTGCGCTGCGCTCGGCGGGACACAGTAATGACAAGAGATGGACTGTTCAGCCTAGTAGAAACACCCGCCAGTGTGCAGAAAGTCTTGAGCGGACAATACACACATCCCATTCCGAGTAAGAGCATGGGTCTAGGCCTCTGCAAGGCTTGTTCGAGATACAACGGCTTTGGGTGGCATATTTGTACAGCCACGGCGTGACGAACAAAGTCGATGGGCTCCCGCTTCCGGGTGAATGGCCATGAATATTCACGGGCAATCCACCCGCTTGGTGCTTGCTAAGAAGCTCATGCAGCAATCGCTTGTGTGATCATGCAGATGCTAAAATGAGAGAACCCCAGGCGGAAAACGCTACTGTCCAACCTGCCGGGTGTTGGGTCAAGTAAGGCACCGAAAGCTGCCCGGTATCCTTCAGCAACCTGCGTTGGCTATCGGAGAAGATGCAGTGCTTTTTGGCAAGACCTGGGACACTGCCAGATCAGTATTTGACAGGCGCAAGAAGTCCCAAGCAGGCAGCGATGAAGATGCGTTGGCTCAGATAACTTCCTGCTCCGCTCGCTTCTCCATCGCCAAGGCAAGAACATGGAAGCTGTCCGTATTTGAGCACACTTCTCATGGGAAGCATCTATACGGCAGAGAGGCCACAGGGTGAGGAGAGCTTGGAGTATTGAAGCGTCGAAGTTTAGGTTCGGTTGAAGCCGCTCTGCGCTGGCAGAGGGAACAGACAACCATGCGCTGCTCTTGCGAGCTGACTAGGGCAGACTAGCTGACCCTGTAATGGTCCTCACAATATATGTACTGTGCCGTGCTAGACTAACAAGCCTGAAGCTCGCCCGCCAGCACACGCCTCGCGGCTGCAGCTGTCAGCGGTACACGTGCCGTGAATGAGAGCGCTCCAGAGCTGCCGCGCGGTCCTCCGCCTTGGCACGTCGCCAAATATGCCCAACGAACGAGTTTGCCTCTGCGGAGATCCAGTACTGGAGTCGGAAGTGATGAGCCGCACGATGCAGAGATCTCTTGGCCCCAAGCACCATCCGAGATCCATCGCGGGGCGCAGGCAAAATCTAAGACGTCACTTTTTGCAGCCTACGCTATCGTTCATTTCTGTTGCAACAACAACAATACGAACGAGCGACGCAGAAGTGGCTAGCATGGTGAAGAGATGGCGTGGCAATATGCACGCGAGAGCTTGAGGAGGAAGCTTTCCGACGCATGAAACATCTTTGAAAGCATGTTCACTACAGCAGCACGAAATTCCAACATGGTTCCTCTTGTACATGGAGAGCCGGGCGATATCCCGCAGGACCGTTTGCTGGCCGTTGCAACCGCCGAACCCAGCCGCGCACGGCTGCATGAGCTTCGTCCTCTCCACGAATGACCGCGCCACGATTGCTTCGGCGGCGAAGGGGGAGGTGGAGGCGGAGCAGATTTTGCCTGACGTAAAATCTATGAGCAGCATCCTGAGCTTGGGGCGTCCGCGGAGTGCATCCTGTCCGCAGCGGATTTTAAAAGCTCAGCTTCGCCCTGTTGCTCTCTGTGCTGCGTTCGGGTAAAACCGATCTATCGACAACAACATGCAGTTCAAGGCCATTCTCGTTGCGGCAGCGACCATTGCGTCGTCTGTTGCCCAAAACACACCCACTCTTGCTGCTGCCCTTAACAGCACGTCGCAGCTGTCGGACCTCAATACCCTGCTTGGACAGTATCCATCTCGTATGTCGCCGCAAAACATTGCTCGGAGCATTTGACTTACGGTTTCCAGTCCTTGCAACCCTCGGCAATGCTACCAACTTGACCGTCCTGGCCCCAAGCAATACTGCCTTGATGTCATTGATGAACAGTTCGATGGCGAACAACTCCCAATACGTCCAGGCTCTGCTCAGCTACCACGTCCTGAACATGACCGTCCGATCGCAGAACATCTCTACCACCCCGGCTTTCGTACACACCCTGCTCAACAACACCATGTACGCCAACGTTTCAAGGGGACAAGTTGTTGGCGCACGTAGGGCAAGCGGAAACAATGGCACTGTTCAGTTCATTTCCGGTCTTGGACAGAGGTCGAACGTCACCATGGCTGTATGGTCTCTCCCTCAATGATGTGTTGGAGTGTGCGCTGACACAGTCTTCCCCACAGGACGTCAACGTGACCAACGGTGTTGTGCACATCATCGACATGCCGTTGACCATCCCCGAAAACGCTTCCTCTACCGCCTTGGCTGCTAACTTGACCGCGTTTGCCGGTGCTCTGAGAGCTACAAACCTCACAAACACCATCGACCGTGCCCGCGACTACACCATATTCGTTCCCTCCAACATGGCTTTCAGCTCCATCGGCTCGGTTCTTCCATCTCTCTCCACCACGCAGGCTACATCTCTCCTGGAATATCACGTCCTCAACGGCACCGTCGCCTACTCTCCCCTCCTCACCAGCAACTCCACTGTTCGTTCCATGGCCGGCTCCAACCTCAACATCACCAACGAGAATGGCGAAATCTTCGTTAACTCAGCCCGTGTCATCGCCGCTGACATCTTGACTGATGGAGGTGTCATTCACATCATCGACTCTGTCTTGAACCCCAACAGCACCCTGAAGCCCAACCCCAGCGTCCAAAGCGGCGTTCCAGCTTTCTCTGGAGCCTCCAGCGGTGCCGTTCCGTACACTTCTGGCATAACCATGATGAGCCAGACCATGACAGACGATTATTTGACCATGACGACGGACGCCGTTGCGGCGGGATACACCACCGCTCCTTCTGGTGCTCTGTCCTCTGCTGGTGCTGCCGCTAGCAGCGCGAGAGCTTCTTCTTCTAGCCATGGTGCCGCAGCTATGCCTACTGCTGCCATGGGTGCTGCTGCACTCTTCGGTGGTGCCGCTTGGATGGCGAACTTCTAGATAGTCGCAATGTGGAATTAAGGCAGATGCAACGCTTGGAACAGTCGTTTGATGCGACGGGAGATGAAACGGAGGATTGCATGGAGGTACACGATGATCAAAGAGCATGAAAGCATAAGAGCTGTAATGTGTAGGATACGCACAACGAGAATTCCGACAGAAATTTCTCCTAGTAAAACGATATATTTATTATTCGAAGTTTGCACTTTCATTCTCAAATCCCAAATGATCAGGCGGTCGTTCATGTTTGTATTGTTCTTATCCATTATGGGTTGGGTTTGATGTGAAAGCTGCAGCCGGCGTTGATTGGCGCGGAGAATTTCCGCTGAGTAAGCGGGAAACCTGACTTCACTTCAACTTTCACATGTTGCCAAGACTTCTTGGAATTGACTTTTTGACACTGCGTGATGGCGAAGCAGAAATTGAAGAGCCGGATAGGTACATTGGTGTCAGGAATTCGGGGATGGATGGGCTCTGGGGTATCAGCTCTCCCAGTTCCAGCCATGCACACAACCTAACACTGTTGACAGGATGCTTTCCGATCGCATGGACTCTTGCGCTTCCCTGGACATGCCGAGCATGCTATGGGTGTTTGAGCAAGCTCAGTAAATAGATACTATGGCTCACCATTTGTCTCAGACAAATTAAACAGGAGCTCTTGCGCATATCCATTAGTCTAGTTCTCGCACGTAGGTTTGATCAATCTCAAGCGATTTTCGATCAACAATGTGAATGCATGCGGCCTGCGACCAGCCCTGACATATCTGGTGACAGGCTTGCGGAGCCGGATATCGTTTGCCTCGGAGACCAGCACGCCATCTCCTTCTCCAAGTTCTCTGTTCGTTGCGCGCAGTCCGCACACGAATACAACCAAATTGTTGTGAGTCAACTTCTTGCGAAGTGCTTGCCATCGTCTCTACGGTTCTACAGTTCGGAAATGAGCTATCTGGGCACTGGGAGGGCCCGACGCCCATATGATATAGGCAGTCCTAGCCTGGATGCAAGGAAGGGACCCGCTGATGCTATGGTAGTGGTGCAAACTACTGGCGCCAAGGGTATTGCATCTGAACGGCGTGAGGATCGCTGACGCATCGGAGCTTGTCGACATTTGACTGCACTATCCCTTCAGATCTCTTGCTCTTTCCATAGGTAAGTGGAAGCCTTCTCAATGCCTTGGAAGTTTGTATGGGGAAGTGAGTCTCGAGGTGGACAAGCTGTTCTCGCCGAAAGTTAGTACTGCTTTTCGGTGGCGTGAAGGACGCTGACTGATTGAGGTTAGCATGCCCTGCGGTCTTACATCGTCTCCATATACAACCAACTCTACAATAGCACGGGGAGCTTTTGAGTGGAATAGGAGTCCTCATTGTTCTGGGGATAGAGTGATATTGTGGCGGTGACTATTGTCTGAAGTGAGGTGGGAATGAGCGTATTTGGAGCACGGGTCACGTAATTGAGCCGCTTGGCACGGACGCGAGCTTCTGGTTCGATTTTCAGAGCTTCAGCTTCAGCTTCTTGCTTTGTTTCCTCTTCAAACAACAACCAACACCACCGTGAGTTCCCCCAGCGGCGCCGCCCAGTGCCGCTCAGCGCCCTACGCATTGCTCGAGTCACTGACTTTATTTGTATGAGACAGACACTCTCCTGCACCACCAGCACCACCGACACCACCACCACCACAACCATCACCACCACCACGACCACCACCACCAAAGGAGACCGCTTTTTGTAAGTACGCTAGACGTGCCACGACATCTCGGCATCGGCAGCGCGCACTGTGCTGCTGAGGCGGATGCTGGATCGTCCTTCAGACTGCAACTGCAGAAGAGCATATAGCTAACAAGCGAAACAGTTCACAATCAAACCATCACCGCCGCAGCCTCTCCCGCTGCCTCTCTCCCTCTCGCTCTCTCTCTCTCTCTCCCTCTCGCCGCGCCGCCACCGTAAGTGAGCTCCCCTTTCCATCCATTTGGCTCTACATCTCCAGAGAACGCAACAAGCGAGTGCCAATGGATAGCAAAACACCACAACAGCTTGGTTATGATTCTATAAGAGCCGTGCTAATCAGCCTTTCTAGATGTGCGAACTCGCCGAGACGCGCTGCGGTCTTTGCGACCGGGTCGTGACGACCGTGACCCGGGCGTGCGACCGCAACCCGCGGTGGTACCGGTCGGTGGGGGCCACCTGCCCCGACCGCGAGGTCCTCGCGGTCAACCGTCGCTGGATCTGCCGGCGCTGCTGGCACTTCTACGGCGCCCCCTGTAAGAATCCTCAACATGAACCCTATGCAGGGCTATGTCGCAGTATACTGATCAAAGACACTGACAGTCTGACAGCCATCAACCGCAACGTCCTGTTGCGCATGATGCGGTACGATGTGCTGAGTAAGTATCTCTGACTACACCATTACTACTTCTCGTGCCAGTTTCTGACATGCTTTTAGTGCACATCGTCAACTCCACCCGCAACTGAGGAACAAAACCTCGTTAAAAAATACCACCGCAGCCCGCCCTTGCGCGGAGAACAAGCTTCGTTTTTCCTTTTTTACATAGCATGAATGAGAAGCCGCCTCTGGGCGCGCGGTGTCTGCTTGCGGAGTTGCCTCTCACACCCTGTCTCAGCCAGGTTCCATTCGAGGGTCCCTCCAACAAGCCTTTCAGTGACTCGAAGAGTCTGCTTGTCGTCGAGATGAAGGAAGGACTCGAGCCGTTTGCGTTGCTCATCTTCAGAGTGAAGACACCGCTCACCATGGAGCTGTTCCTGCTGCACCTGTGTTAGCCTCTTCCGAACGGCAAAAGTCCCAGTGCTCCTCACGGCCATGCTCATGATGAGCCGAGAGCATGTGATATTCGACGGCGTGGTCCTTGGCGGAGTGGCAGTCTCTCGTCGAATCCAGGTGTCGACTATGCGGTCTTGGAGCATACTCTCCGACACCAAAATCTGGCGCGCGCCTCTGGTCTATACGCGAGGACCCTAGTTATCAGTGGACCGTCCTCGACTCGAGTTTAGCCTTTTGCCACTTTCGCGGAAACAGCTGCTCACCTCATACTGACACTTTAATCTTCAGATATTTAGCTAGAAGCTCTTCTATCCGCCGTCACTACGCTATAGTCCTGCGCAAACCCTAAGCTCCGGAGTAGCTAACGCTCCTCGTCGACCCTCACCGCCTGCCCTTCGCTTAATCAGCATCAAGTCGGAAGAACATCGTGGCGACATTGCTTAAAGTGAAGAAGTTGCTGGAGGATGTTTAGAGAACCGACCGGGGAGTGAAAGCTATGCGCAACTCTCTAAGGGAGCAGCAAGAGGCGCAAGTGGCAAAATCAACGGCACAAACGAGACTGTATCAATCTCTGCCGCGATACTGTACGTTCAATGGAGCGGTACCTGAGCAGGAGCCAGCAAGTGCGAATCAATGGATGATAGAGAAATTGAAGCATGAGCAGGACATGATCGCTTGCCAAAAGAGCCGGGACCACACTGATTGTCTCCCAGAGGAGGCAGAAGATGGTTGACCACATTTGAAAGCGCAGTATGAGGCATCTGGACAACAAATCGATCACCCGGACGGCATTTCGAAGTCTTCTTCCCTTGAAAGTCGTCGCGGTTCCAGGCAAACCAAGTACGCGTCTGACGAAGACGGCAATGGAAGCCCGCGTAGCTCTCCAAGGATGCCATGGAGAAGTGGAAATGAGCCTGGTGCAGGAGACGAGCATCCGCGGAGCGAGGAGGAAGTGACAAGGCGTGCATGACGTTCTCAGCAAGATCGGCGCGGAATCGGCCTCTGCTGAGCCAGAGTAGCTTGTCAAGGCAGACTGCCAAAACTTCACAAGTAGTACAAGGTATGGATATCTTTGAAAATTGGAACTGCCAATTCTGACAGAAAATCTGGGGCAAAAGCTGACGGCGATGGCACGGGAGCTTCTCGAGATGTATCCTTGCTAAACTGGCCACACCCGACTGATGATGACGATGACGGTCTTAATAACTGGATCCATTGGGGGGTGGAGCGAGAGCTATTTGATGGTCCCAGGCCACCGCCCATTCCGTCACCACTACAATCACGGCTCGGAAGACTCATGTTCGAGGAAGCCAACGATGAGCTGAAACAAGGCGAAAAGAGCGTTCTCGTGTACCCTTCACTTCCGACCCCGAAAAAGCTAGGCTTTGGCAATAATCGAAGCAGATCGATGAGGATTGGGCGGCGACGACAGTGCAGTAGCCGTTTGGATCCGAAAGGACGCGAATGGCAATGCCGCCGACAGAATTGTCATTAAGCATCGCTGTCAGACCTTGAACCGATTGGCGGCACCCAGGCATTTGATGCGGTAATCCTAGGCGCCGCGTACCATCCGAGTATCGACTCAACTACGTTCTCAGCGGTTCTCAAGATGCTTTTAAAGTTCTTGGGTGTCACGGGTATGGGATGTACGAGGGGCCGAGGATACTACGTATCTATTTGGATGAGCTTCGCCGAGTTCAAGACATGATGTCGACGCAGCGGTGCTGACGTGAAACGATAGAGTACTGCGAGCTCGGCGATCTCAGCGGCCTACTCCAATCCTACACTGATCACGCGAAAGAAGTCACAGGCCAGTAAGTGATGGCACTGGAACCGCATTATTCACGTTTACTGGCTCACAGGCTGGCAGCTCTTCACAGAAACCAGAGAGGTTTGATCCCAGGCCGAGTGACACGGCCGATCTTGGAAACAGTGAGCTTGGAATCTGGTCTATCGGCCGGGCCACTCTCGCTTCTATGAATATGGAGAAGTTGCTTGCCGATCAACTTACTGCTCAGAAGAGAGGCCTTGGTTTAAGCGTTGACCAGAACGACTGCTTGCTTGAGGCTCAGAGAACTTCAGGCGCGATGCTTCGTGCTTCACGCGGCGTGCTCCAGCAAACACTTATTCCGCGGACCTTGATTGCATTCGGTTGACATATCTCGAGACAAAGAACATACACCCTACCGTTGCAACCACTGAGCTCTCCTCATGCAGCAAGCCC